ACAGTAATTGATTAACTAATATTAAGAAATCGAACCTTACTGTAGTATAACTACAAACAAATTCCTGTCCACAAACTGCATCATAATGTATCTGAGATTTGTTTTGCATAAATTGTAAGGACCAAATATATTTGGACGTGAATTTGAATCCAAAAAAGGACCATGCAGCTAGGGTTGTGGACATCTGTGATATTCTGAGTTCATTTACAGTGCTCACAGAAGTCAAAATTCACATGAACAACCCGTTGGGGGCTTACTCATGTGAATTTTTACTTCGACTGAGTGTTTGATATAGTAAAATATTATGATATTTTACCCCACAGCACTTTTATATTATTCTAAAAAGCAAGAATTAATATTTCTTTTAATATTTAACATTAAAATATTTTAATAAGTTTCACTCTCATATTTTTGGGAAAAATGGACCACTCTCTCCAAGTCTCTGAAAAGGGGCAACATACTGTGACATTATTAGTTTAAACACACAATTATTTCTTAAAATATTTTAATAAGTTTCACTCTCATATTTTTGGGAAAAATGGACCACTCTCTCCAAGTCTCTGAAAAGGGGCAACATACTGTGACATTATTAGTTTAACACACAATTATTTCTATCTAATCCAAGTCTCAACTCTGAGAGAGTTAAGAATGTAACGGTGTAAAGTACTGATGCAGTGTAGACTAATCAGAAGTCTCTTATGCCCACAAAGGCTGCAATACTTTAATCAAAATACAGTAAAACAGTAGTATTGTTAAAATTTTACAATTTAAAATAACAGTTTTCTATTTTAATAGATTTAAAATGTAAATCGATGATGGCAAAGCTGAATTTTCAGCATCGTTACTCCAGTCTTCAGTATCACATGAATCTTCATAAATCATTCTAATATGATGATTTGGTTCTTAAGAAACATTTCCTGAAAGAATGTTGAAAAACTGTCAAGTTTTTGAACAACGTAATGCATCCTTGCTGAATAAAAGTATTAATTTCTTTTTTTTTTTTTAAAGAAAGAAAGAAATCAAATATCGTCCCTAAGGCAGACAGACACTAAAGTGACTGGACAGTATAGGACATTTGTATGAATTAACTCATAATGAAATTTTGCAATACAGAAATGCTAGCTTTTGTGATCTGCATCAACTGATGCTGTATTTTGAATCACTTACATAGGTTAAACACTTTTCTAGATGACCAGAAATAGTAGTCATAATATCCAGCATCATCTCTCCAGTTAGAGAAGGCCACGGTCAAAACCCCAGCTCCATGTGCTCTTTAAAATGCCAAGCACAGTTTGCTCCCATTTCTAGGTGTGTATTTACATTGGAGACTACGGCAGAGTAAACAGGTGCTTTGTTAGAGAGCACCAGAGGCCTGATGTGCTGTACACACACTAACAGTTGTACTTCTCAGCTCTAACATCGGTTCAGCCACGTCCTCTATCATGCCTGTATTTGTTTACAGAGCAAGACAAGGGTCCCTGTAGCGATCAGCCTGCAGGGAAACCAAGGAGTCCCGGTGTTTGGAGTGCATGCAGGTGTCTTGTAAGAGTTAACGGGATACACACGTACACAAACGGATGCATACGGTGCATTCTTCAGACAGCGACTTTCACTTTACGGATAAACACACACATGCTTTCAGCTGTGTTTTCCAATAAAGGAAAGAGGACGTTGCATCATGAGTGGAGGCCAAAGAGGTCACAACATCTAAAACAACTTTACAGCCCTACAACTTCCCTCTGCACTACATGATTTCCTGTCTGTGTGGGCTAACTGCAGGCGGAACTTCCTTTAGATGTGTACTGAGAGGATAACAGGTCAGAGGTCACACAAGCATACTTGTCCGTGCCCCACACACAGCTTGTGATCCAAATGCTTGAACACATTTGAACAACAATATTTCACTGTTTGTTCTGCACAAAGGAAACTATAGTCACAGAAACACAAACCTTTATGAAGAGGCTGGTGACCTTTCAGCCCAGCCAGGACGTTGTTCAATGCACAAATATCCGATCATGATCATGAGAATTCAAATTTCTTTAAGAAATGTAGCATGTAAACATACTGTAACTTTCAGAACTCAAACTCAGAAAATCCTTTTAATGCTTACATGCAAGTTCTAAACCTGAGTATGCTTATTAAGCTGACAATGCATACGGCCATGTAAACATGTTAACCCGTTTTCCTTTATCAAAATAAGGTCATAAAAGGCTTAAGCATAAACCGAACGTCACAGCTAGATTTTTGCCCCTTAGCCTGATTTCTTCTGGCATGTAAACATATCAACCTGCGTTCTGTTGGCTTATTGAAGTGTGCATGTGTGATATGTGACAGGAAAGCATCCTTACTGCGGATTTAAGCGCATTATTATTATTATTATAATTATATAGAAATACTACAACTATAACTACTAACAATAATAATAATAATAATAGCTATTATTACTATTATTGTTACTATATATATTTTTTTCCACATAAAATCTAAAAATACATAGAGACCCTAACTTTTAAAGTTCTTTGCAGGTGAACGCAAAGTTTCACAGGGGAAAGCAAAGGTTTTGCGATTGAATGCTACATTTCTCAGGGATGTTTTGCGAGTGAACGTAAAGTTTCTCGGGAAAAGAAAAAGTTTTTGATTATATATTTTTTTCTCCCATCTCATATTTGTCCCACCACCATGTCCCTTTAGGGGCGCCGTAGAGTTCCAGCAGTTTACATCTGTCAAGCACTATTATTCAGCTATTTATATAGGAGTCTTGGGTGCGCTCGACCTGTAATTTTCACGTCTAGTGCCCCTAGAGGCCACAAGCGCCGCAGCATTGTCGCAAAAGTCAACAAACAGTCAACCGGTCAACCTCCCGTGTCTTTATGTCTGTGCAGACGGCATCTGATTTGTATGTTGGAGAAAGTTAATCGATTCACTACTGACCAAAATAATAATATAAATATAAGATTAATAATATAAATCCTATAAAGAAAACAAATTGAATAAAAGTAGCATACGCAGAAAACAATGTCTGATCAGGTAAGTCGCATTGACAAGGGTTGCCCAATCCTGCTCCTGCCGATCGTCTGTCCTGCACAGTTCATCTCCAACCCTAATCAAACACACCTGAAGCAAACAATTAACGTCTTCAGGATCTCTTTGCAATGGGTTGGAGATGAAATCGAGTAGTCGGGAAATCGTGTAACAAAACTGATATAACTCACTACATATTTCCTTTATTTGTAGTCTTCAGTTTGTTTTTCCTTTTACACAAATACAAACATATATGAGCTGAAAGGAAAAAAAAACATTTACATTTACATTTGTATACGGCAGTATGTTGTGACTTATATTAGTTTTGTTACACAAATTCGCAGTAAATATTACATACACTTTTATGCCGATGTTTATTTTAAACTCTCCCTTTTTCTTTTTTTGGTCTCCTCTGACAAAATCTTTGCTTTCTTCGCTTTCTTCCGAGTAGCTGTTGATTCAGCCATGACGACAACATACAGACTCCGGCAATCAAACGCGAGTTGAGCTCTCACGCTAGAATTTGAGGAAGTTGGGGTGGTGGGGGAAGTGACGTATGGCGTAAAGCGGTCGAATTTTGTAGTTCTTTTTGTGCTCGGGTTCCTACCCGAAACCCGAAGTTACATAGTGCTGGTAAAAGCGATACAGACACCTTCAGGCTTCGGCAGACGTGTCATTCAACCTATTGTAAGTCGATGTACCATCTCAATGGGTTTTGGTAATATATTATAAAGGTTGAAAAGTTCCACAGTGTGCCTTTAAAGGCACAGCAGCAAAACACAGGACACCTTAATTCTAAAAGTCAGAAGGAGGGTGAAAAAGTAATGTAAAACTATAACATAAAAATTATGACTGTTTCCAAAGCAACAAAAACTTTCAGCATTATAAGAAGTAAAGAGAAAAGAAATAATCATAATAATAAAAAGATAATATAATTTATGATATGACCCCCTTTAAAGGCTCACACACATTCTCCGAGCCTCAAGCTTGGCTATCTTTCCTGGACAGTGTCAACAGAAAACCCATATGTCATTTAATACGAAGGTCTGTGAAGCATGCATTTGAGTGTATTTGACAGGAAAGAAAAAAAAAAACAATCTGATTTTAGGAGTGTGGCTGTTTCCAGTTGACTGCATCAGCAGCTGAGTAGCTCTGCAGTGACCCGTGTGTGTGTGTGTGTGTGTGTGTGTGTGTGTATTTATGTGTGTGTGGACAGGGTACAGGCTGCCCTCAGAGAAACGGTCATGGGGCAACTCTCAGCTGCCCTGTATTGTTGCTGCAAATACACAAAGCACATAGCCTGTCCCTCCAGCTGGCCCTGTGCCCCCTCCCTGTGGCCCTGTCCTCTCTTTCTGTATCTCATTCTTTCAGTCTTTCTGCTTCTCTTGCTCTCCGTTTGTTCTGATAACTGTGACCCTGCTCTCTGTATCATCACTCCACCTCCTCCCACTGAAAAAAGCCAACCAGCTCACTTTTTTCTCTTTGGGAACATACAAAAAACGGCCATATTTTGAAAGAGAAAATCGCATGTAGCCGTAAACTAAAATAAATGGACGCAAACAGGTTAACCTGATTGTCCAAATAATTTTGCCAACCAGTGATGCATTATTGTCCAGCATTTACATGGCCTTTTGCTCTCTATCCCAAATGTGAAGGTCCAAACTGGGCACTTAGTTCTTTCTTACGGTGCTACAATTGGCTGATGGCTTTTCTGCAAGGCTGGAATGGGGCATTTCATTGGCTGAATGTTATAGTGTAGCCATGGAAACTACTAGACCATGATAACAATGATTAGAGGTGTCATGATGACAACAATACGGCACAGAGCGATAATGAGTCTTTGATAAGCACATCGCAGCCATTGTGAAGCAGTAATTGATTTGTTTACCAATACAACAGACTTTGCTTGTTTTGGCCGACAACAATGGGGTGTCCTTGCACAAAAACGGGGGAAGAAAAAGAGTAAAAATAGGACTGACCTACAAAGGATGTGAAAGAGATGAGTGCTGCTCGTCTTCAGACCACAAACCCATTGGTGAGCAACTGAACCCTGGGGATGAGAAACAGAGCCAAGGAGAGAGGTGAATTAAGAAAGAGAAAAGGAGGAAGGCATCAAGTTAAAAGTTAAATCCAATATGTCTGTCTTTTTCTTCAATGAAACACAAAAGGAGCAATTTTTAGAATGCTGCTCTTTTCCATACAATGAAAGTGGATGGTGACCACAGATTTCAAGCAGAATTTTCACAAAATAATGTCTTAAATGTCAGTATTCTGCACACAAATTTATCAGATGACTTACTTAAATACAATAAAATAATCATATTGACCACTTTTACCAAGTTATGGTGTTTTTTTTCTTCCTTTTAGGAGATTAACAGCCTCTATTTTCCATTCACTACCTTTGTATGGACAGCAGCATGAACATACAATCTTCTTTTGTGTTCTACGGAAGAAAGTCACACAAGTAATTATTTTTTTTATTTTTTTTAAATATCAGAAAATGGTGAGAATTTTCATTTTTAGGTGACCTACCCCTTTATTTTTTTGTTTTTTTTTAAATATTAAACAGCGGTCCAGAAACAAACTCAAACAGATTGACAGAGACCCTTTCCACAGGTGGGAAAGGGAAGTCTACAGCATGTGCACACACACAAACACACGTATGTGTTTGGGGGGTTGAAAGCATGTGCATGTGTTCACCTGCGTGTTAAGAGCTCTGTTCTAATCTTTATGGTAATAAACTCTGCCGGCTACTTGGCTGCCGGCGCTGCAGATCAGGCTTTAATAGAAAGTAAATGTGTTTGCGGAGAAAGGGGAAGAGTCACTTGAAATGGGAGTAATGTATTCCTTATTGAGTTGTGTGTGTGTGTGTGTGTGTGTGGTGCCACTGGGTCAAGTGAAGCTAGGTGATGCTTATGAGCCTCTCAACTAGTAGCAATCACACAAACACAGGACTTTTAACCTGACACACAATGTGTCATTCAGATTGAATATTTATATTAATTAATGTTTGCTTAGGTAAGCTTTGCCAATACAATTGAATTGATCATACATAGCAGAGTCTTTTTTTCTTTTCTTTATGCTACGGCAAGAATGATACCTCAAATTATTTTTTGAGGACAGGTGTGCTATTACTTTTGTTCAGACTTGACATCCAGCCAAAGCACCTTACCATTATGGTGGCGAATTTTGCACGGTCAACATTTTTGAATTTTCGCTGATGAAATCCAGTCAATTTAAAAGGAATCCACATGATTAGGAATGTCAAGTGAGGGCAAAAGATTTCCCCATGAAGATTTTGCAACAGGTTCCAGTTGGTCACGTTGATTTGCCGCGTTGACCAAAAGAAAGCTGCTTGGTTTACAAGAGACTTCTGTGTAAGCTGTGCTTCATAAATCACTACACTATCGACAACAGACAATGGACCGTTTTTAGCCTATGATGGTACAGTAATGGTAAGTAATAACTTGGTACTTTGATATAACATCATTACATTTTTTATGTGGTTTACTATTTTTCCATTTTAATCACTGTTTTTAATTATTATTTTTAAAAACTTGTTTTTTTTATATATAATACTAATCATTCATTTTAAGCGTCCCTTCGGTGTGGCAAATAATTATTTTAAACAACATATATTCAGTCATCTCTCAATTAATACAATTTTATGAAAAACTGCATGCATAATAATTAATATTTAGAGTTGTCAAATAGCCATATGTTTAGAACTGATTGAATTGGTTCAAATACCATATTCATATTTCACGGTATTTACATGCCACTCTACAAAAAAAATGTACCATGCCCAAAAACAACACAGTAATACCAATACTTTAAGTTTTAAAGGTTCTGATAGTCAGTTACACCTCTTCCCAGTCTCTCTCTGCCTTATCTCGCGGTCATATAAACCTCACTTAGACACACAAACAACATCAAGCACATGCACACAAGATGCTCTCTATTACACACCCTCGTGATTCACACAAAGCAAACGTACACAAGACAAATTGCACAAAGTCTTAACCAGCAAACTGGGCTCCATTCACTCCAGTTTTAAAAGGTCACCACTTTCTCTGGCTAAGCGCCCTGTGTCTATTGATAATTTTATGCATAAACAAATGGCAAATTTGTGCCACATAAATATGTATTAGCAATTAATAATGTCCTGTGTCTGTGGCGATGCCAGGTGCATGCGAAATCAGCACGGGCACTCTGCAGAGCTGGTGCTTTTGTTTTCCTCCAGCTCTCTCAGGGTTGCCACAATAGGCGCACAATAGATGCACAATGGGCACCCGTAACAGGGCACCATGCCCCTGAGACAACGCCAGGCTCCCTGAATGAGCCACCATCACCTGGGCAGAGCCAAAACAATGCGGGCATCACCAGACAGCTACGGGGGTATTATTGAATTAGCAGCCGCATTGTGATTAAGGGTTTAGAGGGGCATTTAGTGGTTTTGCTTTTTAAATAATGATGAATTTGACGACTGAGGCAGCCAGGGATATGCCAGATGCACGCATGTGTGCGTTTGAAGGAGAGATTGAATTTTAAAATACACGGGCACATGCACACACACACCTGTTTCTTCATGAGAAACACCTGGAAGCTGTCTGTTCGGTTTTTACCTTGGTGTCACAGAGATCTCTATGTCAGTGTGAGCGGTAACGTGCACGCACAGACACGGCTACACAAATAAACAGATCTGATTTCTTGGGCAGGATTGTTCACGACATCGCAATGCCATTATTGTCTCACACAGACAGAGATGAGGGACAAGACGGACAGAAAGCACAGCTCCTCTGCCACTCTAGTGTTTAATAGGATCAGATAAACACAATGGCTTTAATAAAGTGACCAGCTAACATCATACTGAAATTAAGAGAGAGAGAGAGAGAGAGAGAATTAAAGGGTAGAATGGGGGATTGTGAAAGCATTTGTATCAGACATAGCGGATGACAGAGGGGCTTATTTAGGGAAAGAAGAGGATTACCAGCCGCCAGCCTGCAGTTGTGCTCCTCTTCGACTCTCTATAATCACTGTGATCATAAGATCAGCACAATTCAGCTCCGCTAATAATGCACACACACACATCTGCCTATTCATTTCAGCTCTAATGCAATAATAGCCCTGAAACATCTGGTAATGAAACTCGCTGGAATCAAGATGGGCGGATTTGCCGACATCTGTCCCTCCGCTGGCTCCAACCTGCTCTGGTTCTTCAGGCTTAAAGGCAACATGAAATGAAAATTGACCCTATTTACTGTTTTAACGCACATTACTGGTCTTATTGTGCACAATTAATCAGTGCATGTTATTCTGAAGAAAACTAAATGTATTGTTATTTTATCTTTAGATGTCATATCCTCTCACTCTGAAACAACATTATTTTTCCAATGACATCACCTAGGCCACACAGGCTATTGTATAATGTTAAAGTCAACATGAAACACTTTTCCAAACCCATTTTAGTTCTGTAATCTGATGCATTTCTGGAGGAAAACAGGATATTCAACTAGAAAAAAAAAAATGTAGGGCAGAAATTTAACCATTAGGAAATAATTGGATTTTGATAATACGCCATTAAAAACCAGGAGCCAGATTCATGCCAACAAACACACACAATGCAACCAAAAGCTAGACGGCTGGAGTGCCCCAGACCTTCAGGGTTCAGTTACCTGAGTACCTCCACCCCCTTCTCATCTCTCTCCCCTCTTCCCCTGGAGTCCTTTAGGCCGCGAGGGCGACTTCCTGTCCCACTCCCCGGGGTTCATAGTAGGGAAAGGAGGAATGACACAGCCCATGAAAGAGCCATTGTTCATCGAGGTGGTCCCGGTACTGTCTGAGGGGAGGTGGCTAATCACAAGGCGGGCCACAACGGAGGGGTAAATATTTATCTGCTGGGATGTAAACGACGGATCATGTAATTTAGCAACAGGCCGTTCCTTCCTGCATGGTGATGATGTTTAGTCTTGAGTAGGAGAGGGAAGGGGTGTTAGTCAGTTTGATCAGAACCTGCCTATCTCAGACACAGAAGCGGTTGGTTATCACTGATGCATCTTCACACTAAAACTGAAGTGTATAGGTGGCTAAAGTTAAAGTTGTTTTCAACTAGAAATATTTTCAGGATGTTTTTCAAATTTTTTTTCACTATTAACATTTTAAAACTGGTAGGAACATCCTATGGTACAACTTGGTGGATAATTTGTCTTTTGGTGGCGTTTAATTCATACTGCCATTACTGGATGTTTAGAAATTTAAGTGTCAGAAATTTGTTACAAGTTACACGGTGAAAAACTGTCAATTGTGTAACATCGCATTATATTTAATCTTACAGTTAAATATTGTCAAATTTATGTTTTTTGCAAACAAAAACTACGAATTACCATATAATTTTGTGGAAAAACAGTAAAAAGACATTCCCAAAAGTCCCTGACACACACACATATACATATATATATATAAATATTAGTAATATAAATGTGCACTATTTACCTCTACTATTTAATCTCCTGGTAAGATTATAGGCCATGTTTTATGGATGGACCACTAACGATATACTGTGATTATAATTGATCTTAGCATTAATTAATAATAAAACATTCTTTCCACCCACACACACAGCAAGAAAAACAAAACAAAATCTTACAAAACACTTGCCACACACTCGTTGACTTCCTGTTGCTGTGTTTGTGCTCCCATCATTCGCAACTTGACTCTGGTGAACCAGCAGGCCAAGGACACAAACCACGCCAGACCACAATTTCTCCTCCTCAAAGATCAACTGATACTTCTAGATTTTTAGATTTGACCATGCAAACTTCACTGTGGTATTCTGGGTGGTTGCTTGAATGAAGGTTATCTTAAAAATGAAGGTTCTTTATTGGCATTGATGGTTCAATAAAATAACCTTTAACATCAATGGAACCTTTTTCATTGGACAAATAGTTCTTTATAGTGGAAAAGGTTTCTTAGATTATTACAATGTTCCTCAAACTTAGAAAAAAAAAAAAAATTTAAGAACTATTTCACAGAAAGTTTCTTTAGGGAACC